TCTTCTTCTTCTGGTACCCCTATAATGTGGATATTGTTCCTTTTGGATTGGTCACACAGTTCTCTTAATATTGTTTCATTCCTGGAGATCCTTTTATCTCTCTCTGTGTCAGCTTCTATGCGTTCCTGTTCTCTGGTTTCTATTCCATCAATGGCCTCTTGCATCTTATCCATTCTGCTTATAAATGCTTCCAGAGATTGTTTCACTTCTGTAATCTCCCTCCAGACATCATCCCTTAGCTCTTGTATATTTCTCTGCATCTCCATCAGCATGTTTATGAGTTTTATTTTGAATTCTTTTTCAGGAAGACTGGTTAGGCCTATCTCCTTCTCAGGTGTTGTCTCTGTGATTTTTGTCTGTCCCAGATTCTGCCTTTTCATGGCAATAGAGATAGATTGCGGAGCTGGGGTGAGTGATGGCTGGGAGAACGTCCCTTCTTGTTGGTTTGTGGCCTTCCTCTCCTTGGAGAACAGTGACCTCTAGCGGCTTATGCTGGGCAGCTGCACGCAGATGGGGCCTCTGATTCTTGCCCAGCCGCTATGGAGTTTAGCTCTGCAGTTGCTGTGAGCGTGGCCTGCCTCGGGCTGCTGCTCCGATATGGTGGAGCCACATTGGAGGGGAAATAGCTGGGAGGCTGTTTATCTCTGTGAAGGGCCTCCAAGCCACCCTGCTGCACAGGGGGTTAGGGTGCTCAGAGTTCCCTGGGATTCCCAGCTGCTGGGCTAAATGTCCTGGGACACTTCCGTCTGGTTTTGGGGTCCCTGTCCCTTTAAGACTTTCAAAAAGCACTCGCTTTTCTTTGTCCCTGGGGCGCTGGCTGCAGGGACCCGCTCACAGGTCTTACTGTCCTGTTTCCCTAGTTTCCAGGACCCCACACATGCACTGTGTCTGCGCTCCAGTGCGGAAGGCTAGGGCTGGGTGTTTAGCAGTCCTGGGCTCCCTCTCCCTCCCCGCTGTGACTCCTCTCCTCCCGCTGGGAGCTGGGGTGAGGGGTGCTTGGGTCCTGCCAGGCTGCAGCTTGTATCTTACCCCCTTTGCGAGGCACTGGGTTCTCGCAGGTGTGGATGTGGTCTGGCTGTTGTCCTGTGTCTTCTGGTCTCTCTTTTAGGAAGTGTTGTATTTGTTGTATTTTCAAAAATATATGTGGTTTTGGGAGGAGATTTCCGTTTCTCTACTCATGCCGCCATCTTCAGGGCCACTGTTTTTGTCCACATTTTATAGGTAAAAAACTGTTGCCCAAAGGAATTAAGGGCTCTGCCAAGCAGTTAGCCAACAAGTCAAGATGCAAACCTGCCCTCTGCAGTCTAAGAGGCCCCCAGTCCCTGCAGCCCCCAGAACACTGCTCTGAATCCAGACGGGTGCCTGACAGTATGTAACTGAGTGTTGGCGGTTGGGTGTGGGGGCCGTGATTGATTAGATGTGACTGTGTATCTGTGTTGTGTCCCTATGGGTTGATTGTTGTGTGTGACTGTGATCCTGTGTTGTAGAGTTGTGCAATTACATGCTTGTGGTTTTGTCCTTGGCTTTGAAGTGCAATTATAAGGTGTGAGTAGTGTGTATCATATGTGTGGTTGTGTCATATATACAACAAAAGGGCACACTTTCATATCCGAGTGTTGCTGTGTCCCGTGCTGTGGGTGCTTTGTGAGCAAGTGGCCATGGTTGTGCAGGATGAATGGGTGTGATGTGTATGAGCCTGTGCCAGGAGGGTGTGTGGATATGTGCACATGTGCCGGGTGTCCCTGCCTGTTGCAGGTGTGCCACTGCCTGAACCCGAGTCGCATTAGCAGACATACGTTCACCCGAAGACAAAGCCTACCCCGCTGCGCCCACCCTCCCCAGAAAGGCCAGCCCCTCAGCTCCACCTTCCCGGAGCAGTCGTCCACCACCCTGAGTAGGGCCCCTAGCTTGGGCTGGCTGTGCAGCTTTTCCGCGTGTAGCCACATAAAAAGAATCCACTCACCTGAGTGTGGTGCAGAGGGTGTGACCTGTGCCTCAGCTCCTGTCCCCACCCCTCCGGTTCCACCCCGCCCCGCCCCAGGCCCCACCCCACAGAGGTCCTGGGCCCCACCCCACTCAAAACCGCCTGCTAGCCAGCCCTGCCCAGTCCTGGTTGCCGAGCTACCTCTAAGACCACCTCCGGAAAAGCTGCTTGAAGGCAGCGGCCTCGGTGCCGGTGCTCGCCACCCTCATTTTGGGGTGGGCTGGGGGCTCTGTCCAGACCTCGGGAAGGCCGGCCATGCCAACCCGTCAGACCCCAGACAGAACACGAGGGGCACCGGGTGCAGCAGGCATCTCGACCTCCAGGCAGGGCCATGACCCCCTTTTACACATGGTTTCCTGAATGCTATCTACTCTTCACCTGGATTATGGCTTTGAGGGCAGGCCGGGAGCCCCCAGTACCCCAGGAGCGCCCCGTGTTCTCCCTAAGAGCCCCGGGCAGAACTGTTTCACCTCTCAGATTGGGCAGTTTAGCCCTAGGGCGAGGTCACATCCTCCTCCATCAGACAGGTTCCCAGGGGAAGATGTCTGCCTCCTGGTCCCCCGGGGGTGCTACTTCCCTTTCCAAACCAGAGGACAGGAAGGACAGGACGGTGTCTCCCAGCTCAGACTTCAGGGTAGGGCTGTTTCTTCCCTTAGAACCTAGGGCAGTGCCATGTCCCTCTGAGACAGGGCTCCCAGTCTCACCAGAGCCCAGCTGAAGGCAGCTGCCTTCTCTTGGAGGCTGGATATGTGTCCCTGCCATGCATAGATCTTGAGCCCACCCCTCCCCCCAACTCCTGCAACTAACCCTGGGTCCAGGATGCAGCAGTCCTGGGAGCAAGAGTGGGAGCAGTCCGTAGGGAGTCCAGACCTGGCTGGGTGCTGGGCCATGAGGGATGGATGGGGTGGCTGGCTGGGGCCAGGCCAGCCTCACCACCTCCTGCAGGTCTCAGGTGTGTGGGCAGGTCGCCGACACCTTGCCCACCAGGTCCTTGCCCTTCTCGCACACACAGGCATCCAGATGCGGACAGCTCCGCACGCCCCTGACCTGGCTCCCCTCCAGTCCCCTTTACCTCCTCCCAGAGGCCGAAGGCAATGGGGCTGGGGCCCTGAGCTGAGGTTTCGACTTCCCTGCAGCCTCACTGCTGAGCTTTAGGCAGCTCACTGGTCCTCTGCGGGCCTCAGGGGCCCTGTCTGTACAAGGGGCTTCTCCAAAAGGCAGCTATACAAGAGTACATGCTGGGTCCAAGGTTCCACGCGGCCTGCCTAAAACCCGTGAACCTTTCCTGGAGGGCTTCTAGAGACACTGTGTTATTGCAGCAATGACAAACACAGGCCTGGGCTAGTCCTCCCACCCTGCCCACACCCGCGGTCCCCTCACTGGTAGAGGCGGACTTTGGCCTTCTGCAGCTGTGAAAGCTCTTGTTGAGCATGGAAGTGTGCAGGTTGCGGGTTCTGCAGCCCAGCACAACTTCCATGATCTGCACGAGGTCAGCGGCTTTGACCTCATCATCCACCACACCAGTCTGTGCATGACCACCATGCTCCCTGTGCTGGAAGCTGCAGATCAGGGCCAGCCTCTGTGGGAGAGCACCTGGCTGCCAGGGCTTCCCCAGCATGACCCCCTCACCTCTCAGTCTATGCCAGATTCTTCCTGCTCAGCTCCCAGAGGCTGGGGCAGGTACCCTTTATCCTGGCATCTGGGGCAGTGCAGGGTCTGGACTCAGCCTGCACCTAGTAAGTGCCTCTCAGGTTGTAGTGGAGACCCAAGCCCACACTTAGGGTGGGTGGAGGATGGGCATCTGGATGACCACCCCTCTCGCTAAGTCCTGCACCCCTTGGTTCTCAGACACTGACCTGTGCCTTCTTGGAAATGCTGATACTGGGTTCATTCCACTGGATCATCACCTTGTCCAGGTCCAGGAGGAAGTTGTCACCCTTATAAAAGCTGTTCTAGGTGTGCTCCACCTGCCATAGCCAGATGGGGCAGGGAGACAGGACATCACAGTACCAGCACCTGGTGGAGGGGTACCACAGTCTGTCTCTGCCTGTGTGAGCAGAACTCAGGTGTCTCCTACATGCATGAAGCTGTGTGCACCTGGGCAGGTGTGTGACTGTGGCTCTACTACTGTGGCATGTAGGCATACATCCAGCTAACCACTTAAGGGACACTTTGTGGCTGTGGCTGTGTACATCTCTAGGCTTGCATGACTATGGGTAATGCCATACTTCATGGGGCATACCTAACCGTGACACTTTTCACTCAGTGCATGTCTGTGGTTGTAAATGCATACACATACATGTGTATGTGTATACAAGTGGAGCATATGTGTTTGTCCGTGCATGTGTATGTACATGTACATGCATACATATGTAGAGGCACATCAGGTGTGAACAAGTATGTGAGCATGTGGGTGACAGTGTGTGTCTGGGTGGGGGGTTGTGTGTTATCCACGGCTAAGGGACAGCTATCATCCGAACAGGCACTTTCAGGGTAAAAGGGGGACTCTAAATAATCATGCCAGGATAACAGGCAAAACCTAGGGTGTCTCACAGTGACTTAATCTGTGGGTGACAGTGTGTGAGCCTGGGTGGGATTGTCTGAATCACAGAGCTGCCACATACCATGCAGACAGTAATGTGCACAACTCAGGTGTCACCATTCACATTGTAGACATTGGACACATGAATGCTTGTTATACCAAATTCCTACAGGATGGCAGTAAAATGTCTTGTGTGACAAATCAGTATTTTCCATTAATTTCCTGAGAGATGGCAGAAGGGGTACTTTGCTCTAATGTGCTCAAAGGCACTCTATGGACTAGAGTGGCCCTGGGGGTAACAGTAGGAGAAAGTATGTGCCTATGGGTGACAGTGACAATGTGTACGAGAATATGGGGCTGTGTACCCTCACCTTATATGCTACTCCCCACTCTGCTGCTTACAAGGACCATGTAGCGGCACCATCCTGTCTGCCTCACATCCCTGAGTCTCTTAGAGGGCTGCAAGATGGATAAGGAAACAGAGGTCAGGGGAGCCACGGCTGGGGTGGGCTAGAAGCCTGGCTCTGCCTTCTCTCTCCTCATTCAAGAGAGGCCATCTGGGCATGCTGACAGCCTGTGGCCCCCGCATCCTGTATACTTCAGCACAGCAAGTCTGAGCTGAGTCCGCAGGTCAAGTGGCACTGCTGGCAGCCCTTGCCTCGGCGGCTGACATGTGCTTCTTGCCTTTGATGTACAGGATAGTGTACATGTTAGTCGCCACACCCATGAGGGCAGAATCTAGGCTTCCCTTCTTGTGGGCCAGGCACAAATGGGGCCTCACATCACATCATACCCTGCCATGTGCAGGAGTGCAGAGTACATGCATGCACAGGTGTGGGGATATACATGTGCCTATATAACGTATGTGCAAGTAGCTATGAGCATATGTGTGGGCAAACACATGGGTACACACACGGGAGCACAAGTGCATTTATTTACTCATGTATAGATATGTGGACACATGAGGAAGCATAGCATCTGTTTATCCATGTGCGCAGATGTAAATACATACATGCACACATCCATGTGAACATACACTTGCACCTGTGTACAAGTTGGGGTGGGGCATAAGTGTATCTGTTTATCCATGTGAAGGCATGGAATTCAGACAACAGCATCTATATGTGTGTGTGGATATGAATATTCACACAAGTGTGCCCAACCTCCAGGTGACACATAGGGGGGTGATGTGCATATAATTATATGTTCACAAACATATATACCATATACATATATTAGGTTCAACTGTATGAAACAGAAATGATTGAATATTGGCAATTTCCTATGGTCCAACCTAGCCTAGTATTTGCATTTATTTACTTAATACATATTTGAAGCAATTACAGCAGAAGACATATTTCTACTGAGCACATAACATAAAAGCAACTCAAAACAACTCTGGTGTCAACTCCTGGGTATATACCCAAGAGCACTGAAAAATGTGTCCATACTGAAACTTGCATAATGATGGATGTTAACTAAATTTACTGTGGTAGTCATTTCACAAATCACCATGCCCTTCACCTTAAATTATACATGGGTGTATGTACACAAATGTTTAAAAGCAGCATCATCCATCACAGCCAAAAAGTGGGAGCAGCTTGAATGCTGGTTGAGTAATGACCACATAAGGAATATGGGTACATGCACACGTCACGTGCTGTGATTCCCTTTACATGGCATGTTCCCTGAGGACTGGTGGGGGAGTGGGGAGTGCTGCAGGGTGGGGAGATTCTTTTTGGGGTGAGCAGATGTTGTAACCTTGAGGTGATGGTCACACGTGTCTGCGAACACCCTAAACAGCACTGGGTTGTGTACCTCAAGTGGGGGGCGGGCTCAATGTGTGCCGGTTGTCTGTTAAGGAAGGTGTCCCGCCCCCTGTCCCCAACTCCCCACCCTCTGCTCAGCCGAGCCCGGCGCTCTGTGCCTCCCGGTACCTTGGCACCATTACCAGGTTCTGGGGAGGGGGACCCCAGTGACACTTGCAGACCCGCCCCACCCATGGCCTCGGGGCGTTGAGAGAGAAGCACCGTCCGGCGGTGTGCCTCACTTCGAGCACCACCCGTGGAGGGCCCTGTGGCTGTCATTGTCTGGGAGGCCCTTGCTGATGTCCATCCTAGGCCAGCAGGGCTGAGGGACGACACTGAAGCCAAAGCGCTCAGGCCCTGGCCATCTGCATTCTGGGTCCCAGGCAGGAGCTCTCTGCACCTACAGCCCTCCAAGGCATCTTCATCATCAAGCAGATGTAAATTAGAGGACTCTGCACACACACAAACGCCAGAAACTGACAGGTACTGCAGACGTGGGCACAGAGGCTTTGCAAACAGGGACCTGGTTTGTTATCTGTGGTCGTGCTCTTGAAACAGGGCTGAGCTCTGAGGACAGGGATAGGCTGAGCACACAGGGACACCCTCTGTGAACATACAGGAACCAAGAAATAGGCTGTGCAGACAGACACGGACTCTGCAGTTGGGGCAGTCTCTGCAGGTATGGCCAGGTACATAGATAGGCGAGGTTCTGCAAACAGGCACAGAATCTTTAGTCAGAGAAATGCTTTCTAGGCAGAGGCAGGCTTTTGAAACAGGCAAAAGCCCTCTCGGCATGGTCAAGCTCTGGGTCCAAGTGCAGCCTTGGGAAACACTCAAATCCTGCATTAGGGAGATGGGAACAGGACGGGCAGGCAATTGTGAGCTCTGCAGAGAGATCCAGGTTCTGGGAAAAACAAAACAAAACGGATGCAGCAGACAGAGGCCCTATGGACAGAGACTTTGTAGACAGGGAGAGGTTTTGTAAGCCTGCACAGGTTCTGCACACAGGCTCTGTTAGAAGTGGCAGCTTCTTCAGAGAGAAAAGGACTTGCCAAAATGAGCTGACAGGGAAACCAGCACGGTGTTCAAGCACAGATGCCCCAGACATGAGCAAAATCTGAAACATGGCTGTCCTATATAGAGTACATATTTTGCATATAGGATTTATAGATAAGGCTCAGTTTTGGAAACAAAAGTTCTGTAAATACAAAGGGACAGGCTCTGTTACCAGGTACACATGGAATTAGGAATAGAGTATTCAGAAAGGCATAGGCTCTGCAATCAGGGAAGTGCTCCCAGATAGACACAATGACCCTGACAGTGATAAACTCTTCATAGGAATGAATCCTGTAAGTGAACATAGTTTCTATCCAGGGAAATTCAGATAGTCTGTGCAAAAAGGCAAAGGTCCTGAAGAATGTACAAACAGGGTTCAGATTCCATAGACAGACCCAGGCTCTGCAATAGGAAAACACTCTGCAAACAGGGACATAGTATAGAGACAGAGACACTACTGAGGAAACAGGTTCTGCTGACAGGACAGGTAGTAAACAAACTTTGCAAAGAGGTGTCCCAGACAAGGACACCAGAAACTCTGTAGACAGGGATAGGCTCTGTATGCAGGGCAGCTTCTGCAATAAAAGCTAATCTTACTCTCAGGGAAATAGGGACAGACTGTTTAACAAAACAGGTTCTAAAAACAGACACAGGCTCAGGACAGAAATAGGCTCTGCAGACAAGAAGAAGGTTCTGCAAACCCAGACACTGCACATGACTATCGACAGGCTTAGCTAATGTGAGTGGTTTGGGTAAACCCAGCATAAGCAGTCTTCAAGTCTTGCAAGGTAGCTGAATTCTTAATATACACAGACTCTGCAATCAGCCACAGGCTCTGCAAACAGTGACTCAGCTCACTTGAGGTTGTGCTCTGGTTCTGTGTGTGCACAGGAGTGAGAAGTGTGAAACGAGTGGTATCTGGGGAGGGTGGTATATCTTGGCAGATGACTCTCACATACCCCAGCTTCCATGCCCCACTCCTTCAGAAAAATCCATGTGAGGTTTGGCCATCCCTTCATCCATGGAAGTTCTTTCTACATCTAACCTAAATCCTGCCAGCTGTAACCCTTTATTCTTGCTGCTGCTTTGCTCAGTAGACAAAGAAGTCACTTCTTTCTGAATTTCTTGTTCCTAGTGACCCTGGTGTGGTATTAACTCCCCTCCTCCACTCCAGCCAGGTCTTATCAGTAGTAGGAACACCCTTGGCTCTGCTGACCTTGTGTGACCAGGAGAAACAAGATAGGAGGGGAGACAGAGTTGCAAAATCAGAGGCATGGTGCGGAGGTGGTAGAGTGGCCCACATCCTCACACCTTTGTCCAGGGCCTCTGAGGGCTGGGCTCAGCCCCTGGCGAACTCACAGTATACTGTGGGAAACACCCAGTCCTCTGGAAGAGGCCTAGGTGGCCATGGAAGTGTGCGAGTGTGGGGATGTGCAGGCATGTGCGTGCATGTGTGCACCCGTGTGTGTGGGAGGGAGCTGCCCAGTGCAGGGCAGCCAGCAGGGCAGGTGGGCTGCATTTATTATGGCCTGCGGCCCCTCCCGACACTCTGGAGACCACATCCACTGTTGGTGGCTGCCCTCCCCAGGGTGGAGGATTCCCAGGCCCTGGCTTTGGCCTCTTGCTTCATGCCAACTCCCAGCTCCCTCACCCAACAGGTACTCAGCAAATAGCTGTGGAATGGATGAAGCCTGTCGCTGTGACAGTGGGTGCAGAAGGGAGTCCCGTGCATCCTCACTACACCCAGAGCTGCTGTTGCAGTCCTTGGCCTGTTGGTGTGGCAGTGACATGTGACAGGTAGATGTGGTGACCATGTAGTGGCAGCTGCAAGCGAGAGCATGCATGAAGACACTGAGTGACAGGCATGGTGACCTTCAGTGGTGATGGGCAACAGTGACCAGAGGTAGGAACCATGCGCCATAGGTCATGTAACTGGTGCAGTGGCCGAGTGACAGAAGGCTGGCTGGCCTCAGCATAGGAGTCACCAGGATCCCGTGTGGGGCAGAAAGTCAAACTGGCAGCTGGCAGCCAGGAAGCGGGGACTGGACTGGTTTTGTTGGGTAGGGACAGCATGACCCCTAGGGGGATCGGGGGGCCCAGTATCCAGTTTCAGCCTGGAGAGCCCCACTTGCAGTTTCCCTCATCCCCATGTAACCCGCATTCACTGTCTTCCAGCTGGGTTCAGGGGCTGGGAAGGGGTGCTCAGTGTGGAGGCTGCCCCCCCTAGCACCCCTCTTTCTCCTGGGCAGCCCTTCTCTCCCTCAGGGGTCTCCTTCCCTTCCTAGAGCACCCCCTGTAACCCAAGACCCCACCCGCAAGGCCCCCTCTTTCCCCTGGGGATCTCCCTTCCATCACCTACCCTGAGTCAGGACCCCCACCCCATGTCCTCTCCCTCCTGTCTTCCATGGGGGCTCGTGCCCTTCGCTCTCCCAGATGGCCCCATTCCTTCTCTGACACGCCCCTCCCCCTGACCCCCTCCTCTCTGGCCATCCCTCCCCGCAGGAGCACAGCCTCCTTCCATGGAGGGCCGCTCAGGGAGCGGACCTGAGGTGACTGACTGCCTGATTCCCGGTGGGCCTGCCCAATGAGCAGGAGGACAGAGGGCAGAGCCTGGGCCTGACGCTCTGTGGTGGGGATCCCCAATCGCGCCCAGCTCTGCTGTGTTCCCACTGTTGGGTTGCTTGCTGCTCCCCAAGTCTGCTGCCACCCAACAACCCCAAGCCCTGGACCCCAGTCTCAGAGTGCCCACCCTGCCTGGTTCCTGGACTTTGTCCCTGCCAGGCCACCCATGGGCAGTGCCAGGACTGGCTTGGGGCCAGGCTCTGCCCACTGTCCCCCAGTGTAACTCAGTCCTCCCCACACT